TTATTATTATTATTATTATTATACACGATGTATATAGCGCCAACAATTTGCGCAGCGCTTTACAATATAAGGAAGACATTACAATTCAAGACAAGATGATAAGGAGGGCTCTGCCCCCGAGGGCTTACAATCTAAACCGGAGGGACAAGTGATTCATGAGGGTGTATAATCTATTAAAAAAAAACTTTCCGATTGAATGTCATTTCTGTGATCACACTGCAAATGTGAAGGCCTGTTCTGTTATAGGGACAGAATGGGCACTGGACTGGACCCAGGCTGCAGTGGAACGATCACTACCACTCTAGGCCTAGGGGTCTCCTGCCCAGGTATAGCACCAATGGTTGAAGGTACATGAATGTTTGTGAAATGCGCACTGTATGTAGTTCACCTGTAGACCTCTAAAGCCAAAGTGTAATATTTGGATAAGCACTTCTGACCTGCAGGTCAAGACCAGCGGTTTTTGGTGACTAGATGCCAGGCCAGCTTTAGTAACATTGGTTAGGTTGGCAATATCGCTAATAATTTGCATATGTGCAATTTTATATCTACCAATTGAACTTTCAGTTTAAAGTAGAAGTATACCCCCTGATTTTACCGTTTCCGAAAACACAGCTTAGTTAGAAATGTTAAATATTAAATTCCTTTTAAAACATTTTCTTGGTGCAGTGTATGCTACATTCAAGGCATGCCTCTGGTGATCACTGTCACATTGACAGTGTACTTGGGTCAGCGCTTAACCAATTTTTTAAAGTGTATTTCCACTTTTGTAGTCCAATTTGAGAACCCCTCTGTGTGTGTTCCCATTCACACATCATACGTCTTGGACGTCTCTTTGGTGAAGGTCTTTGTGCAGATTCCATGTTTCTCTGAGCAGGTAAAAGTGAAACCAAAGGGTCAAACTGTGGAACAGACTGAGCTTCATCTCATTTACAGACTGTTCAAATCTGATTTACAACTGATAATGAAATCTGCCAGCTCAGTACAGACAGGGTTCAATAGAGGTAAGCTTAACTTCCCACAGTCCCCTCCTTATTATATGGGGGTAGAATGTTTGGCAAGTATAAGGGCTTGTTCACACTGAAAGCGTGTGTGCTCCAGAGCGGTAGCTGCTGGAACGCACCGTGATTGGTAAGAAACTTCCCCTCGCGTTCTGGGGCGGGATGGGGCGTGGCGGTGCATTGAATTCAATGCACCGCCACAGTGCAATCGTACGCTTGCCAAAACTTTGCCAGCGTTCGTTCCACTGCAAACGCAAAAAATAGAGCAAGTTGAATTCAATGCACCGCCATGCCCCCTCCCGCCCCAGAACGCTGGGGGAAGTTTCTTAGCGATCGCGGTGCGTTCCAGCAGCTACCGCTCTGGAACGTGCATGCTTTCGGTGTGAACCAGCCTAAAGCACCTAAAAATGTAACCAATATAAAGTAGGTGTTATCAAAATTTGACTGCAAAAGTGTAAATACACTTTAAAGAAGAACTCCAGGAATTTTATTAACCCTTAGTTAATAAAATCCCTTGAGTTAACTGCTCATTTGTGTCTAGGTAAAAAAAAAATGTATACTCCCCCAAAGCTCTAAACTGGTTCGTTCTTAGACCGGTCCTTCCAACGTCTCTCCCCCTCCTCTGCAGCGGTCTAAGGTCCCGTAAATCATCAACGTCTATACACTGTGTATTGGACACTGAAGATTCCAATGCTGCAGGGAGGAGGAAACAGGCTGGAGGGAGCACTGTGACAGCTGGCTGGCTCGGAGCATCAGGTGAGTAGAACTTTATTTTAGCACCTAGACACAAATGAACATTTAATCCTTGCCGGCATGAGTAGCCCCACAGCTAGAGTTATTAAAATAATCCTGTAGTTCAAGTCAACTAAATACATTCCAGGAGCATCAAAACAAAATGTGTGCAAAGAACTACAGTTTTTCTTTGGAAAGCAGCCACTGTATGAGTAGAAAAGCCTGTACCCTGCCAGAATGCTATAGAGAAGGACTTTTGCTCTATGTTCGGAAAGGGTGGTCTCTCTGTAGAGATCCGCCACTGCAGAGTAAGACCTATAGCTCTCCAGTCAACACAACTGTGCTCTGTGCTTCCTCCTGATTATAGAGCCCAGCTTTGATTCAAGGAGGGTGTGTTAGATTTTTGCAGAGAGACCACTGCTTCTACATGGAGAGCAAAAGATTTTTGTTTTCTGCAATGTGCTGCCAAGTTTTATGCAGAGGAACACTGCCACCTTTAGGCTTATTTTGCCAATGAAGCCTCCAGCCTGCATGTGATCACTATGTTATAGCTGCCGGTGGTCACATGATTGGGAACCACTTTGATTGGTTCCACTGGTCCAAGAGGGCCAGATCTGTCAGTGAAAGCCAGGATCGAGGCTCACTAGGTGTGCACAGTCCTGAGTGGTTGCTCTCGACACGAGGACATTTTTCTAATGTGTCTTGAGCATGGGACATCATGCTGAGGAATGCTATGCAGATTGCAGACAGGAAGGCAGGTATTGAAGACAGTGGATCAGCATAACAAGATGACTAACATTACAGAAGGAGATCAGCAGTGACAAGCTCTGTATTTTATTATAACTGGTTTACTTTATAGGTTTATTTAAAGCTGAACTCCATGCAAACCACTACATACACAGGGTCTGTTTTACCTGCCTAATGATTTATATATCTGTCCATCCCTTCCTGAGATTTATACAACTCTGCCACACAGCACAGTGCTATCTGGCAGGACAGGAGACCTGTTTGTACTCTGCTGCAGTTAAGTAACACACACAAGCCTTGTTTCCCTCAGCTTGTAATTGGACTGTGAAAGGCGAAGCAGCAGCCTAATGACCTCCTCTCTCTGTCATTCTGCTCTCTTCTCCTTTCAGTATGTTCTTGGTGGACACATGAGCACCGCAGCACACCTGATTAGTTGTAAGAAGCTGATTCCAGGTTGCATCAAATGACTTACACGGCTTGTTATTAAAATGACATTTAATGACGTGTTAATGAATAGGGAGCTGCATTCATTTATCTGCCTGGAGTTCAGCTTTATAGGCCAGTTCCTTTAAGTCCGATGAGTTATTTCTGTTGGAAAGAGAGAAGGTGATGTTTTTGTGTCTCATTGGGGAAAAAACTCTCAGCTGATGGAATGTGGAAACCATGTGTTTTTCTGTCTATGAGAAATTGCATTAAAAGTTTTCTCTCCTTGTATCCTTTATCTAATTATTGTATTTATTTGTTTTTCAGGCGTAATTCTTCCTTCGATGCGTTTGTCCTGATACTTATTGTAAATAAATAAATTAATGCTTCCGTGGTTTTTTTTTTGTTTTTTTTTTTAATGTCTTTTTATATTTTGTGCTTCTTCTCTAAAGACAAAGTCATAATAATGTAATTATACAGAAGACTGATATACTGATGAGAGATGTGGATTTCTTTGGGGTCTTTTATTCAGGCGATTCAGGTTTCTGTGTTCTATTACTCCATTTCACTGTCCTGACTGAAGGCAAGTGTTTACCTCTGAATTGTAAGGCTCAGTTCACCGTTTCAATAATATAGGTGGGTAGCCAAACTCCGGCCCTCCAGCTGTGGTGAACTACAAATCCCATCATGCATCTCTCTCTGGGAGTCGTGGCTGTGAGAATCTTGCAATGCCTCATGGGATTTGTATTTCCACCACAGCTGGAGGGCTGGAGTTTGGCTACCCTTGATATAGGTGAAGGGGGAGGCCCCCGCAAACTCAATACCATACAAGCAATCGGGCAGCTATAGAGCCACCTGAACGCTTATATGTAACAGCCGTTACCAGATGTTCAAAACTTTTTTTTTTTTTTCTTCCTTCTCCTTCCTGCTCATGCACAAACCCTGAGCAGAACACAGTAAGACTCAGTACAGCGACCCGCAGAAAGGCAGTTGCCGTCCGACCATTTATTTACACCGAGCGTACGGCAAGTAGTTAAAAGGTATACCTGTAGACAATTAGTGGCATCCCCAGAGTCTGTCTAAAAAACTCCTATTGTAGAGATCAACCCTGTCCTGGTTAGGATCTGGGATGCTTCAGATGTTGGATGCTCGTCCCCAGCATCACAAAAGCGAGCGCACTTTCTCATTCAAAAACAGCATATTCGTTTTTCTTTCCCCCTGCAGCACTTCTTCAGGATGGCGTAGGGGGTGCCGCTAATCGCCTACAGGTATACCATTTAAATTGGGCACAATATTTCAAAGCTGCACAGTGTTTTTGTACACACTGAGGCTCTTCGACTGCGTAGTGCATTTTATTAAAAAAGGTGAACTTAGCCTTTAAAAGAGAACTATGGGGTAAGTGGTTTTCCCAATAGTTCTATTTAGGGTCACAGGAGAACATATACTAGCGTCCTCCCGTAACCCAAAGCTCAGTATATTGCAGGCTATTGGCCGCGATATACTGTGAGCGCCGCAGCCGGGACGGATCCTGACATGTCAAGATCCACCTAGCAGCGCTGGGTAGTAATCTGAGTACTTAGGCAGGTTATTATAGTATGCATCATTTTTGTTATAGTACTAAAGGCTGGGCGTTTCTCTACCCTAATGCATT